CTACACCCAAAACAAAAACAAAAACAAAAAATTTTAAAGGCCCATTGCTCACCTCTGCTTTTGCAGTTGGAGAAAGTATGTAGAACTTGGCCCAACATCCACAACGAAAGTGGGTTCCCTGGCCAGAGTCGCCCGCTCTGTGGCAATGGTGAATAACTGCCCTGTGCTGAGCCCCCGCTGCACGGGGCGCAAGGTCTCCGACGCTCTCACCAGCACAGCAACCCTGTTGATGCCCACGTAGCATGCACCCTGCATAGGGGCCTCTAAAATCCTTGCGTGGGGTCAGTTTCCCCTGTTTACCTGAGCTGGGGGAGGGGTCATCTGGCTCCAAAGCTGGCGCATGGCTGGGATAACCTCAGAGCCCCTGCTGGTGCCTGCGTTCACTCCAAGGGGGCCACGCCGCCCCCACGGCCTCCACCATGGGCTGCCGACAATGGCTTCACCCCCCGCCTTCTTCACAGTCCCTTACTCCTTCCCTGTCTCACCTGCACCAGTTTCTACAGTGCAGAGCGCCACAGAAATACCGACAGACTCCTTGGGTTCCAGCTGGACAGCCAAGCTGGGAGGAAGCAGAAGCCACAGAAAGAAAAGCCACAATTTGCAGCAAAGTGATGACGCTGATGTTTCCAGGAAAAGATCCTGCAGGACCCCCACCAGACCTCTGTGGGGTCTAGTGGACCCTTTCAGCCCTTTTCTTCTGTGGAAGTTTTTTCTCTCATCTACTCTTATGCTGTCTTATATCGTCCAAAATTTCCTTCCATCTCTCTCCTCAAAGAGGTTAAACCACAACTGGCCAGGCTCCTTTGAGGAAGCCCCTTTGAGCACCTGGAGACCTTACCCATTCTCCCACCCACTCCCGCCCCCAGCCACTGCACACCAAGGCTTTCTCCAGACCACACATCTGAGTTCCTCCCACGACAACAATGTGAGTTGACAAAGCTCGCAACAAAGCTGACACTTCCTGAGCGCTGTGGTCATGTCCGCTCTGGCACTTTTACATTTGGTCTCACTGCGAAGTAGGTGCTCTCATGACCATCGCTGCTCCACAGGTAAAGAGAACAAGGCTCTGACCGGCTGGGAATTTGCCCAAGACACACAGCTGGTAAGCTCAGAGCCAGGATCTGAAACCGCGCTGGTCGTATTTAGAGCCCATGCTCTTAGCCGCTGCATTGTAGCGTCTCCTCTCCCATCGTGCACTCGGAAGATACTGATGAGCATCTCTTCAAGGCCAGACCCAGGTGCTGAGGATGGACCCACAGACAAGGCGGAAATGGCAAGTCCCTTTGGCGACACAGCCAGACCTACCTGGCACCGGGAGCCAGCTTCTTTCTCCTGGGGCTTGGGAGATCTGGCACGGGCTGGAGGGGCGGCGGGGGTGGAGCAGGGCTGGTGGTGGGATTCAGTAGCATCAACTCTATTCCCAGCCAAAGAGGCACAATATTTGGGATAAACAGCACACCACAGAGCGGGCTTCAGACAAACTGCTTGTGCTGGGCCTCAAAGCCTTCCTGGGGGTCTCCCATTCCCTACGCCTGAATGGACAGCAGCTTAGCCTTCCTCCTGCTGGGTGGGCTCTCCTGGGGGGCAAACATCCCTCAACATCTTTCCCTTTGGCTCCTTCAACCAGTCATTGTTCCAATGAGGATATGGGCTTGCAAAGCTGCCTAGTCCCCCCTGCTGCCATCCCATCTAAGGGGACCTGTACTAGTCAACAGGGCTACGGGTGTGGGCTAGTGAAAAGCAGGCAGAAATACTTGGCGGGGAGGGGGTAGGGGGCAGCAAAGCCTGGCCAGGCCACCTGACCTCCCTCCCAGCAGAGGAGCCAAGGGGCCAGAGGCAGGTGGAAGGGAAGCCACTTGCCCCTGACAGCTGCCTGGTGCTGCCGAGGGGCTCCTGTGGGAAAGCAGGAGGCTCTCTCTGCTGAGCAAGGGGTCTGCAGACTCAGCTTGGGGCCACTCTGGGAGGGAAAGAGGGAAGAAGTCCCGGGCTGGACACCAACCCCAGAGGGACCCTGGTCCAGCCCTGGTGAGGACTTAGCTCAGGAAAGGACTATTTTGTTGAGGTCGCACAGTGAGCAGACGATAGTTCTGCCCAATGGATCCACCTCCACAGTTGATGCCCTTTCCACCACACCACAGAGCCTCCTCTAGGAGCCAGGACCAGAGGCCTCCCCGTTCCTCAGAGAAAAGGGTAAAAACCCACACGTATGGAGGAGTCTCTATGTCCCATGGTCCCAGTGCAGCCACATTCTAGTCAACAACCCCCACTGCCCTTCCCCAACCTTTCTCTCAAGTACACTCAGTATGACCTGGGCCCCCAAAGGTGGGAGACGATGGCTTCTGACCCACATCCCCACCAAGTCCCCCCCTTGAAGGGGACTGCCCTGCTCTCCCCCAATCCGCAGCCACAGGATGGCAGGGCCTCCTGACCCTCTCTTTCAGCCAGGCCAGGAGCGGCCATCTCTGAAGGTGGGTGTCCAGGAAGTCACTCCGGAGCCGGCAGGTTCTCAGGCGTGATTAGGGGCGGTGGCATCGGCCTCACCAGCACTGAGCGGGGACCTCGGGCAGTGGGGTGAGGCCCAGAAACGTGTTTCACAGCCAGGTGGTTCCAAGGCACACTCAGGTTTGAAAAGCATGAACCAGAGGACAGACAGGGAAGATGATCCAGAGAGTGAGACAACAAAGGGAGCAAATCCATTAACACAGAGCTTGGAATGGAGCTCACAGCACATATGTGTGTATCCAAGGGAAAGGCCTTCCCTGTGGCTCCGTCCCTGGGATAAAGGTCCTCACCTAAGAGACCCCCTGGGCCGCCATCCTCTGCAATTGCTCTTCTTGCTCCACGGTTCTCCTTGGGAGCCCTCACACTGGTGTCACTCAATGACCGTGAGGTTTGTAGTCAGGTTCTGTCTCACCCTCTGGAACGTCAGCTCAGAGAAGGCAGGTGGTCCAGCCTTGTTTACGGCTGTCCCCCAGCACCCACACTGTGTCTGCCAGGTGGTGGGCACTCATGGGTGTTCGTTGAGTGTGTAACTCAGGTTCGAAAGCTGGGAGGGGTACGCTTGAGTAGAAGGAAAGAAACACAGAAAACAGACTTTGGCTTGTGGTCAGCAGGGCCTTCCCCATCCAGGAATTGCTCAGCCCACATAGGAATTTCACAGGTTGTGGAATCTTCCTGCCTAGGGTCACCTCACCTGCGCCAGCCTGGGTAGGACAGCTTCTCCCTGCACCCATGCTCTTCTGCTGCTCTCCTCACAGATTCCCACAAATGGCAGTTCGTCACTCTCCTCTCCTGCTGCTGTGACAGCAACAGATGCGCTTTGCTGCTAGGGATGTTCTCTGAGTCTCACTCCTATGCCATTTTCACCACCTGTTCCCTCTCTTCTTTAACACAGACCAACAGTGTCAGAACTAGATGGGAGCTTACAGATGATCTAAGAAACAGCTTTCAAGTCTTTTGTTTGGGGTGCTCTGCAGCTGTGCTTTTTAAAACGTACCAGTATGTTCCAGTATCATTTGGGAGCTGTGCTTTGCATTTTCTCCTTTATGATATTTGGCACTTCGACATGCCAAAAATCTCAACAAGACATTGGCAAAGGAAGTTACACAAACATGTTTCACAAATCTCCAAATCTTTGAACAAAAACGGTCATCCCATTTTTGCAAACATTCCCACATGGGGCTGCAGAGTTCAACTCATCTTTTTTTGTGTTATTTACTTACTTATTTATTTTGGAATGCATTTTGAGTGCAAATCTTGCAATGGCAAGAAAGATCCAACTGGAATGAGAAATGGTGGTGTCCTTTCTGCTGGGATTCATTCAGCCTCTCAGCCCCAGGGGCCTGGAGTGTTTCCTGGAACCAATTTCCTTCTTCGGGCCGTTAACATACTCCTCTAATTGGAGCGTTGAAGGCCCTGTGAGTGGCCAGTGCAGCCAGTACTCTGTGGGAGCACATTCCTAAGGACAAGGGAGGAGGTCTAGGCCTCTTGTATTTCCCACAGACCATAGGCTCTCTGCCCCACTCCCTCACCCCAGGTGCATGGGGTCAACAAGGGCTGGCCGGGAACAGCACTTGCCGGTCACCCATCTTCCATGTGCTACCCTTTGGACATTAGTCAATATCATCCTACTCTGGGTGCCATTTATGAAACTTCTCCTATGTTCCAGGCACTGTGCTAATTTACCTAATCCTGACAACAAGGGATGAAGATATTGTTATCTCCATTTTGTACATGAGAAAAGTGATTTTTCACAGGCACTTGGTCTGAGCCAACTAATCTTTCATGTAATATTTGCATATTTTGTGTAATCTAATACTAATAATGGTTAACTTGTATTGAGTGTTCACTATGTTCTAAGAGCTTCACATGTATAAACTTTTCTAACCACAATAACCCTATGAAATTGAGTATCACTATCATCCTCATTTTATATATGAGAAAACGGGCAAGGAATGGTTGAGAATCTTGCCCAAAGGTTACTCTGCTATCAGCCTCATCATCAGTTCCAGGTAGGCTTAGTTCAGTTCAAGCATTGACTGTGTTTCTTCTGTGCTGAGAGGAAACAATGGAGAGAGTGGTTAAGAGCATGGATTTAGGAGTCGGGCATATTTGGGTTCAAACTCCAGTTCAAACCTAGATGTGCTGTGTGAATGTAGGCAAGGATATTAGCTATCTATTGCTGTGTAACAAGTCACCCCAGCCTTTGGCTGCTTAAAACAACAATTATTATCTCATAATTTCTGTGGGTCAGGGATCTGAGAGTACCTCCACGGGGTGTTCTGGTTCAGCGCCTGTCCCAAGGCTCCTGCCGAGATGCCATCCAAGGCTGCAGTCACCTCAGGCTCACTTGGAAAAGGAGCTGCTTCCAAGTTCACTCGCATGCCTCCCTCCACACAACTGCCTCACTTCATGACCTGGCAGCTGGCCAAGAGGCAGCAAGAGAAAGCACCCAAGATGGAAGCCACTGTCCCTTTATAACCCAGTCTCAGAAGTGACATTCTTTTCTCGCTTTGGCAACACATATTTAGAACAATACAGAGAAGATTAGCATGGCTGCTATTCAAGGATGACAAGCAAATTTGTAAAGTGTTCCCTTAAAAAAGAAAAGAAAGTAACATTTCATTACTTCTACACTATTCTATTTTTTTCATTAAAAATATGTTTATTGATTTTAGAGAGAGAGAGAAACATCAACCATCTGCCCCCCAACTTGTACCCCAACTAGGGATCAAATCTGCAACCCAGGTATGTGCCCCCACTGGGAACCAAACGCCCACTCCTTGGTGTACGAGATGATGTTCCAATCAACTGTGCCACACCAGCCAGGGCATCTACCCTATTCTATTTGTTAGGAGCAGGGCAAAAAGGCCAGCCCACACTAGAATGGGAGTTGGATCACACAAAGAACATGGATAGGAGGACGAGGGGGTGATCGGGCCATCTTAGAGACTGCCTACCACAGCCAGTCACTGAAGCTTCTCAGCCTCAGTTTCCTCATCGTAAAATGGGAGTATAACAGTATGAACCTCCAAGAGTTCTTTACAGGCCTCAGTGAGTTGAGCAGCGCCCAGCAGAGCGAATGCTCAGTGTGTTCGTCTCGATCACCACCAAGGCTGCAAGCTACCTGTGGGCAGAGACACTGCATCTTTCTCAACTGCATCTGTCCCTTCAGGGTCTGTCTAGTTCAATACTTGACACTTCCAGGGACACCAGGCGCTGGTGGTGCCAGTGCAGGGGTGGCCGTGAAGGAGGCAGCGCTGCCCTCGGAAAGCATGAGGTTCACACCATTCCCAAGGCCCATGGGAGGGGCCTCCCCCAAAATGGCAGGAACGTTCTCTGTGAGCCAGCCAGGGCACGAGGGGCGAGAGCGTCCAGATGTCTGACCCCTGCTGACTCTCCGCCTACTCCACCTGGAGGTGGTCAAGCAGCGAAGGTCACCACTGGGGTCCAGTCCTGGGTGTGAATCCAGCGCAGCTCCTGGCTTGGCAGATCCCCAGGCACTGCCCAGACTGCTCCCAGGAGGGGCTGGCACAAGGGCAAGGGACGAGTTCCAGAATGCCGGACCACCTACATGTGGCGACAGTAACTGTTTGTGGCTCCCTGAGGCTTGTCATCAAGGAACAACATGTTGCTCTCTAGGGTGCCTGGCGATGATGGCAGCTGCTAGGCATTTCTAACCTAGAGCTCAGGGAAAGGAGCAGAGGGACAGGGAGAGAGGGAGCCAAATCCTGGGCCAAGGGCCACATACCCAGCCAGGCTGCAGACCAGGAAGAAAGACCAAGCACAGTAGAGAGGCAATGGGCTGGGCTGGAAGGACACAGGCTGTGGAGTCGTGGGTCTGACACGTGGCTCAACCACTTGACTGCCAGTGACTTTGGGAAGGCTGCTTAACTTCTCTTCATCTCCGGCACTTCACCCACAAAATGACCTTCCATCCAGCGCAGAGGTTGTGCCAAACAGAAGCACAGATGTGCAGGGCCCGGCACACAGCAGGTGGTCCGTAAGTGGAACCATCACTACTAGGCTGATAGGGTGCTTAGAGAAACGGAAAGATGGAAAGCTAAGTAGTCTGTTTCTGTTTGTAAATTTTATTGAAATGTATGTACACATAAAAAAAGTGCATGCATCTTAAGTGCTCAGCAAGATGAAATTTTATTGTACAAAGTAAATGCACATGTGTAACCAGCCATGTCATCAAGAAACAAAACATGATCAACACCCCAGAAATCCACCGTCTGTCCCTTCCAGTTCTCTGCATGGAGAACCACTATGCTCACATCTAAGGTCCTACTTTTGTGTTTTATTTAAATGGAGTGACTGGTGTGCCCTCTTTTGTTCTGTCTCTCCGGGGTCAGTGCAGTGTGTGTGCGGTACTCACCCACGCTGCCGTCCCTGTTTGGAGTCTGTAGTTCTCATTTCTCTGCAGTGTTCCATTGTGTAAATATACTCCAATTTATTCATTCTATTGTTGATGGACCTTTGGGTTGTCTGTAGTTTGGGGCTCTTAAAAATAGTGGTGCCATGAACATTCTCATAGATGTTTCTATTTGATGGATTTAGGATAGAATTGTTGGGTCAGAGGTCATCCACACTTACAGGTTTATGTAAGTTTTATGTATGGTGGGACTACCATACAGCTCCCGAAGTGTTTGTATCAACATACATACCACCAGCGTCCTTGCGCGCTCTGGCGGCTGTCACTCTTTTTCATTTTAGTTATTCTAGTAGGTGGGTAGTGGTGCTTTTAACTGCAGTTTTAATTTGCATTCTCTGAGGCATAATGAAGAGGAGCACCTCTTTCTATCTTTATTGGACATTTGAGTATGAATCTAAGTTGTCTAATTTCTGTCCTTGCTGGGGCTCCCCTTGAGAACTGAATCCATAGAATTGCCAATTAAAACAAAAGATACTTCCATCCGTGACGGATACTGTAGACTGATTGAAGCAGTTCCGTTCACACCACACAGCTCTGGGTCTGCATGTGACCTGCCCTCGGCCAGACAGGAATGCTGGCGTGAGCCTGGGGTGGCAGAAGCATGGCCAGCCGTGCGGTCTTCATCCTGGTGAGGTGAGGAAGAAAGATATTTCTTTCTCCTGGGAGGATGGTAGCAGAGATCCTGGGCCCAGGCTCTAGTTTTGCAGATGTCAAGGGGTAGGCGCATGGCACCCCTTTTGCTGAGGTGGAGCACATGGCCTGCTGCTAAGGTGATGTGGGCCGGGAGTCAGCAGAGGGGGCCGGTGGCTTCCAGACTCTCCAGGTTCCTGACCACGGCAGAGATGGCAGCAGTCTCGGCAGGCCGGTTCTCCCATGCTGGGGAGGCGTCCCCAGAAGCCCAGCCGGCCCCTGCTCCACTGGTCCTCCCGATGATTTTGTAAAGTCCTGTATTAATTTCTTTTCTGCTTAAAATAGCTAGAGTGATTGCTATACCTGCAAATAAACCCTGACTGATACAGAGTGGTATACCAGTACCACGACTTTGTGAAAAAAAAAAAAAATTAAACCAATAAAAGGGAAGACCGTAATCCTAAAATAAGAAGACAGTTTCTTAAATTTTATTAAATCAGTCCCACGAAAAGCCCATTCTCCATTTCTCATTTTGATAAGGGAAATTTCAACACTGGTGGGCTCTAAAGGAAGAAGTGGGTTTAGAAGAGGAATTAAAGGGAAACATAAAGAATGGCTCCGAAATGGGCACAAGGACGCTGGGAACTGCCCTTTGTCAACAACGAAACCATCGTACCAGGAGCGACGTGCCCTTGGTACCAGTGAGTTCAGTACTCATTTAAATGCCATAAACGATATTATTTTTTGAGTTAAAGGTCCAGGAGAACCTTGATGAGGGGGAGTGTTGGGCAGGAGCCACTGTAGCTGTGTCCCAGAAAATAATTTGAGTGTTCATTAGGAATAGTTAAAGAGTTATCTGGTGTTTAAATAACGACAGGATTCAAAGGAAACGATTCCTGATAGGAGAGAGAGGAGCTGGAGCGAGGAGCTGTCCGACAGGACCCATCGAGGCCCCCAGGCAGAGGGGAGGCTGGTGAGGGACTTGGGATCCAGGAGGGTCCCTCTGCTCAGCGGGCACCGCCCCCCAGCCGCAGGGCCTCAGTGCCGAAGCCTGGCTGGTAGGGAAGCCTCTAGGCTCAAAGCTGGGCACAGGCTCTGATGACAGTGGCAGCAGTTGGTGATGTGTGTGGGGTGGGGGGTGGGGCTGGGAGCAGAGTCCAGCTGGTAGGGATGAGGCGGGGTGGACGACACCGTGGTGGAACTCTAGAGATGGAAGCACCTCGGTCATCTCCTGCTCCGGTGATGTGAAGTGCTCTCTCTCCCCGCCATTTTTAACAGTGTATAATGGAAATTTCCAAGTAGACACAAAAAGTAGAGAGAATAGTACAATGAACAGCCATGGACCCACGATCACCCAATGACAGAAGTCATCACCTTATCAGCCTGGTGATTTTTAAGCTGTTTCAGACTCTGATTCTCTGCTCAAATAAAACCTTGTGATTGTGTAGCTGAATGAAATTATGAAATATTTACTTGTGTTTTTCTTACCATTCCTTTATCCCATTTAAGCAGATGTTAGGAGAACAAGCAATACCTGGGAGAAAAAGGTTTTGCAGGGGAGGTAAGAAAGGAAGGAGGATTTCCATACACTTGTTAAGGCTGCAAACAAAATACAATGAGCTGAATGGCTTAGACAACAGGTATTTATTGTCTCACAGTTCTGAAGGCTGGAAGGGTTTTCCCAGGGTAGAGGGTGGACTAGGAACAAGGGACCCAGAACGAGGAAGAACAAGACAGAGGGGACACTGGCCAGCTCCCAGAAGGCACCCATGTCCCAAGAGTGGCACAAAATGAGCAGCAACAGCTGGACGCACAGGGGCCCCTGGATAGAGAAGTGGTTTGTTGGGGGGCACACCTATGTCCCAGAAGTGAGGCACTGCCTGAAAAGAACACTTCAAGAATATTTGGGGTGAATATTTCATCTGGCTCTTGGAAACGGGTCCTGGGAGTCAGAAATTGAATTGGAAATTTAGAAAACAGAGGAATTGATATTTTCTGTACCTCTTGAGTTTGTCAGCAGAGTGTTTTATCTGCCAAACATGAAACGGATGGAAGCAGGACTGTTTCTGGTGGGGCTCGCCCCTGCCCCTGGCTCCCCTATCCCTAGGCAATCCAAGGAGTTTTCGGGTTCCAGGAAGCTCAGTCTGAAAATACTTTGGTTCACCCCTCCCCCTTATTGAACACACAAGGACACAGAGGCTAGAAGCAGAAAAGACCTGACTGTGAGGGGGTACGAGGCAGGCTGGCAGCAGAGCCAGGCTGGAATCCAGGGCTCCTGATTTCCATCAGGACATTTTCCTGGTGGCTTCCTCAAAGATTTCCCAGATAGGCTGATGCTGTGTCTTTGATCCACATCCAGTTCCTGTCTGGGCAGGAGTCTCATTGGACAGCAGGCAGCGGGCCCCTGAGCTGTCCTGAGGTGGTCCCGGAGTCATCCCTTGGGCCCCTGTCAGGTGTGTGTTTGTTTTAGCCATTCTCATAGCTGTGCAGTGTCGTGCGTGCCTCTGACACATGCCCATTCATCTTTGAGGACATC